TTATTTTGATATATCACAGTGAAAGATTTATCGTCCTCTTTTTTTTTTTTTTTTTAAAAAAAAAAAAAAAAAAAAAAAAAAAAAAAAAAAAAAAAAAAAAGAAAATGAAAAGAACCTAAGTCTGAAAAACTGTTATGTCACTTAAGATTACATTCTGAAACAAAGAGTATCAATAGCAGAGCAACTTTCCAAAAAGCCAGGGAATCATCTGGAAAGGTGAACAGCAGACCGTGGTCCACCTATGACCATCACCAAGACCTGGATGACATCAGCATGTCATTCAGGGGCAGGGGCAAGAACAGCCTTGCCGACTGTACCTTTGGCTTTCTTTGTGGGGCGCCAGGCTTCATTTCTGCCTTGTTGGGTGCATGTAAGTCCCCATAGCTTGCAACATACTGAATGAGATTCATCAGTGCCGCACAAGAGTCTGAGCACGTTCTGATGTGGACGCTGTCACTGGAACAGTGTAACTCAAAGCGGGGCTCTGTCTAGACAGGACACGGGGAGAAGACAATTCCTCTGTACATACATTTACATTAAATAAAATATATGACCACTTATCTTGTCAAAGGAATAGTACTTATAATAAATTAATCTTAGTTTTCAAATAGTTTGTCTATTTTGACCAAAATTGGGGAAGAAGAAAACTAATTTTTCAATAAATTGGATTTTTTCTCATAAAAAAATGGGACTATGGGCTGAAGAGTTGACTCAGTAGGTAAGAGCAGTGGCTTGGTTCCCAGCACCCACATGGCGGCTAACAACCATCCATAACTCCAGTTCCAAGGAATCCAACACCCTCTTCTGACTTCCTCGGACACTGCATGACACATGCGCACTTACGGTACATGCAAGCAATACACTCATATACATACTTTTTTAAAAACGACTTAACTAAAATGTTCCATTCATTTTAACAACGTACCTGCTCTCTATCCGACTCCGACTTCACTGCAGTAATGGTCAGCTCTAAAAGCCCCATGTCCATCACACGGACATAATCTAAAAGTTGAAAAGTTAATAAAACGTCTGAATGCAGCTTTCAAAAAATGCTTATCCATCCCAACACCTGACAAAACCACCATTCCAACCAGGTGTGCCAGGCGTGGCAGTTCATGTCTTTAATCCCAATAGAGGAAGGCTGGTGGCTATGAGATCGAGGCCAGCCTGATCTACCTAGTGAGCTGCAGGCCAGCTGTGGCAGGGAGAGACCCTGTCCCCAAAAAACAAAAAACTACTGTTTAAAGTTCACTACAGACAATGACTTACAATGTGGCAGGACACAGAGAGGTTTATCCTACTAATTCACTCTAACTTTTACCTCACTGACACCTCACTTTATTTTTGTTAGAAACAAATGGTTTTATATTAAATAAATGTTTAGAATATGTAAATAGACGTAGCTAACCCTATAAGAATAATACAACCTCAAACTGAACAGCCAGGACTTGAAAAACTTGAAGATGCACCACACGATCAGTATACGCTTAAAGGTCCTTTAAAGACCATTTGCAAGATCAGTAGTTTATCAGTATTATATCACAGCAAAACTGCTTTAAAACATTCACATACAAAATCAGACAGCAACAATCTAGTCCAGAGTTTACTAACTTACCTCTATTCAGATTTATAGCAACAGTATTACATTTGTCAGACAAATGTAAAGCAGCCTCGTCCATTATTATTCTGAGGAAAAAAGATAAAATCAATAAATATCTAAAAAACCCAGCTCTGAACACACACCATCATCTCTATGTATTCAATTACACTGCTCCTTCAAATGTGAACAGTATCAAAATCATATGAAGATTCTAATTAGCATCTGGCATTTTTTTAAAAAAAATCAAATGTTTATGAATACTTGAAATGCTGGGCTTGAAATGGCATAAAAAAATTAATCATTTGCTCAATTTAATTCTAAACTTTGGGCAGGTGTTTGTTTAAATAGTGCCCAAATCTAAAAGGTTTAAGCTACAAGTATAAAATGTATCAAGTATTAGGAAATTGACCATAGTCCTAAAAAGCAAATTGATAATGTTAAGAATTAATTCCTTCCCTAAAAAAAATGAAATACAGCAATGAAAAGTGGAGATGAGATATGTCACCCAAGAAAACCCGAGTCACTTAGATAACGTCGATAATACCATTTTAACGAAGTGGAGCATTAAGATGGCTGGGTAAACACAGTCAAGAGCTACCTATTAGAATAGCTGCATTTCGCAGGTACCTGAGAGTAGAGGAAGACTTGTCTAGTGCCACACTGCTGGAAATACTGAAGGCTTCAACAGTAAGGAGAGAGCGCATCGGCAGATACAGGGGCCTAGGACCAAAAGAAGTAATAAAACATCAATTTGATACAACAGAAGCTCCTTTCAAGTAACACTTTGAACCTTAACACTACTGAATTATGGCTCTGGGAGGTCTTGTTTTGTTAGTATTTTTGGTCACAGGATCTCTCTATGGAACCTACACTGACCTCAAATTTGCAGTCTTCTTGCCTAAGCCTACTGAGTGCTGGGATTATAGGTGAGCAACACCACAGTCAGCAGAAGTACACATTTTTCAAAATGTAGCACGTGTTAAATTTCGATTCCATTTTATTTAGGGGCTCACACGTGGTGAGTGAACAACATGGGAGAAGTCAGTTCTCTCCTACCACATAGATCCCCAGATTGGTAGCAAGTGTCTTTATACACCGAGCCATCTCACTGATCTAAAAAAAAAAACTTGGTATATGTTTTAAATGAAACTTTCCTTTGTTCCATTCATGGACTTACCTGTAATCAAGTGCACAGCCCCAAAGATGAACATGAAAAGTTGTAAATGAAGTTGGAGGGTTATATCCCAAAACAGGTTCATCAGCAATATTCAAGAAGTATAAAATCTATAATCACAAAAACATAAAATACCCTTCTTCAGAAGAAAAAAGATTTTGATAATACATTTAACAAGTATAAAACAAAATATGTTCCAGAAAAATAACCATTTAATTGAAACTTTGATTGCTAGATGAAAATATCACCAATTTGGGGGCTGGAGAGAGGGCTTAACGTTTCTAAGAGCACAGGCTGCTCTTGCAAAGGACCCGGGTTTGGTTCCCAGCACCTACATGGCAGCTAACAACTGTCCTAATGCTAGATCCACGGGATCCAATACCCTCTTCTGACCTCCTCAGGCACTGCATGACACAGGTGCATGTACATACACGCAGGTGATGCACTCATACACATAAAAATAATAAATAAAATTTAAAAAAATGAAAATATCACCAGTTTGAAGAAATTAATTTCAAAAAGTATGTATACACATGAAGGCTGATTATGGAAGGTGAAAGATAAGTTAATTTGACTACAGTAATTATTTCACTATGCAAAAGCATATTCAAACATCATGCTGAGCCCACACTCAGGAGGCAGAGGCAGGCAGATCTCTGTGAGTTCAAGGCCAGCCTGGTCTACATAGTGAGTTCCAGGACAGCTGGGGCTACAGGGAGATCCTGTCTCAAAAAGAGCAAAAATGAGGAGGCCCATCCAATCATTGCAATGCTACAGAAAACTTAGAAAATCCTTAGAAAAATCAATATAGTTTTACATTTTCTGCTCAGAACAATTCTTGAAAAGAACTAATTTTGCTAAAGACTACTTTTCAGAAGTCTGATTTCCATGGGGGCACAGGTATGTGTGCCTATAATCCCAGCTACTAGGGAGTCTGAGGCAGAAGAATTAAAAGTTCAAAGTCAGCCAAGGGCTACTAATTCAAGACCCTTCTCAAAAGACCAAAGAAAAGAGAGAAAAGAAAGAAAAGAGAAAGGAAGAGAAAGGAATGAGAGGGGGAAAGAAGGAGGAGGAAAAGGGGGGAGAGGGAGGGAGGGAGGGGGAGAGAGAGAGAGAGAGAGAGAGGGAGAGAGAGAGAAGCAAGCACACTTGCCTAGCATGTGAGAGGCTCCGAGTTTCCAGGCATTTCTGGTTTCCTACGTAACCACCCATCGTGGAAGGGTGAGGGAATCTAGTTTTCTATATAATTCATTTTTAAAGACGTTCATTTTCATAAATTTATATGTAGCCCAGTCTGAAAAGCAGGTTCTCTAACCTATATCCATTCTCTCACAGTTCCAAGCAAATAAAGATACTACATTAAAATTCTCCCCAGTTAGTGTGTATACTGTCTCTCATATAGACAGACACTCAAATTTCAACATGTTTATCTAAATACTTTCAAGCAGTTTTCTAGCAAAATGAAAAAAAAAACACTACCTGAAGAACATGATAAAGAAGCAAAATGTGGGACTGGAAAGATGGCTCAGTGGTTAAAAGCACTGGCTGCTCTTGCAGAGGACCTGGGTTCGGTTCCCAGCACCCACATGGCAGCTAGCAAACCCCCATAACTCCAGTTCTAGGGGACCTGACGCTCTCTTCTGACCTCCATGGGCACTGCACACTGCATGCACACCATGGGTGCACTTACAGACATGTAGGCAATACACTCACACACATAAAAATAATAAAAATTTTAAAAGAAGCAAAATGTACAGGTTTTCATAAAGAAAAGTAAAGTTCTTGCTCAGGGTTACACTTCCTTCTTACTCATAGAAAAATAACTTTTTGTTCCAACAACAAAACCTCATCATTTCAGGGAAGAATCATTTCAGGGCCAATGAGATGGCTCAGTGGGTAAAGGCTGATGCCCTGGGCTCAATCTCTGCAACTCACATGGTGGGAAGAGAGAACTAACCCCAGGAAGTTTCCCCTGACCTTCATGTACACTATGGCACACAGCATGTACACACACACATTTCAATGGGCAATGTGTGAGGACCTGGGTTTGATCCCAGGCATGGAAGGAAAACAGGGAAGAAAACAAAATGGAACATAAGAAAACTGGGGTTTTTGGACCCTAGTTCTACAATATAGGGGTGACTCACCTGGAAATTAGAGAAATTCTGATAAAATGATCTGAGGCAAAGCAGTATCACTGGCCCAGGGAAACCATGGCCCTTACGGAGCTGGCTAAGAAGCACTCAATATGCACTAGCTATTCCTGGGGCCAGGCATGCAGGCCCAGTGACAAGGAGTCTTTCCTTTTGAATGACAAAAAGACAACATTATCACTGATAAGTTTGGGGATGATACTTTAAGGAAAAAAACAATAGCTTTCTTTCTTAACTAAAGCACGGCTATACAATGTTTGCCTCATCATAATTCACTAAGCTGAACAGCCATGACCTGTGAGCCTTGTCATATATGCAGCATGTCAATATTCTAAAGGCAACTTAATACCCCTAACAACTCTCTTACCTGCTCGTGCCAGCTGAGCCCAGCAGGAAGCATTCTGTGCTGCAGAGTGGCTCCTTTCAGTCCCACAGCAATAAGGAACTCCTACACAGCACAGTACAAAGAATCACATTTATGCATATACAATCCCCAAACTTGAAGGTTTTCCAAGTAAATGTGTTGCCTTTTATATAATCATTCTTAGGTAGCAATCAAATCAATAGAAAGCATTTAATAGTATAAAAGTGTAAGTCACATACCTTTGTGTTGGACTCTGCTTTATCAGACAGTATTCTCACAGCGACTGAGAGCATAGTCAAATTGTCTCCCCCGACGCCATCAGAAGCAGCTCTGCTGAGGCCATCTTCTCCAGAGGAATAAACAGTAGGCTCCAACCAATGTGGGCGGGTTGAGCAGGGCAGTCGTGCTTCTGTAGGAAGAATCGCTCCATCTACTATGCCTAGATCCACAGTGAGATAAAAATACCAACAAAACCATTACTTGGAATTAGTTCTGTAATTGCTCTGACTTTTACAACTCAAAACAAAACTCTATATACAGATTGAGCATCCTTTATCCAAAATGCTTAGGACCAGAAGTACTTGAGATTTTGTGAGGAATATTCATGTACATTAAATGAGCTATCAGGGAGGGAACACAATTCATTTATGACAATAGCTTCAAGGTCATTCAATAAATAATGTGCCGTGCTCTAACTGTGTCCCATCACAAGAGACTTCTACAGGTGTAGAAGTCCCACTTTGACATCACACCAGCACTGAATGTTTCAGATCTCAAGATTTCAAAGTGAACTTCCAGATTAGAGCTTCTCAACCTGTACTTTCACTGGATCTAGCAGAATCCTGGTGGAATGAATGTTAACCAAGAGCCAGCATGGCACTAGGAACCCATTCCTCTTTGTTAACACTGGTGCTGAGTGAAAAAAAAAAAGTAAGGTTCTAAAATGATAGGAAAACTAAACTTAAATATGAAAACCTTCTAAATATTAAGGATGTACAAGCATCTCGTGTCTATTCACAAGGTAATTTGGGCAACCACTCAATATTTGGTAAGTTTTAGTCAGGTGTGGTAGCGATGCCTATAATCCTAGAACTTGGGAAGCTGAGGGAGGAAGCTACAGAGCAAGACTGTCTCAGAACAAGCAAATAACTTCTAGTACATGATTTGGACAGTAGAATCTGGGCTCCTGCACAGATAATAATTTCTGAAACTGAAGCTCTATTTGCAACAGATTTTCTCCATCAAATAGGAAGCCGACACGTCTGAACAGAAGAGTAAGCCTCACTTGTCCTACCTTTGTGGTGCAGACTGAGACTGCCACAGTGAAGGCAAATGTAGTGCTTGTCATCAAAGCCTTCATGTCTGCTCACACAAAACAATGAGCCACTACTGAATTCCAACCAGAATTCACCATGCTTGCCTTCCAACAGATCGCCATTATCTTGCTAATTAAAAGATCAGGAAAAAAAAAAAGTTACTATTTTTTTCTAATTCAGTACTGGAGATTGAAATCAGGACTGTGCACACAGTCGGCAAGTGCCTTATCAATGAGCCTCAGACCCCAGCAATCATTTAAATGCAGAATGTAAGAATGTCCCTTGGGGTGTTCCCTCTTAATCCAACTTAGGAAAATCTCCCACATCACAGGGAAACAGTCTAATTCTTGAACAATTCAAGAGCTGGACTAAAAACGAAATAATGTAGATGCTATATAAATTCTCTTCTAATTAATAAATACCTGTACTTCGTCCTCTTTAAAAAGATGTTTTAGTTACCAATTGCCACCCCAGTGGCAGAATTAGCACGTGCTTTCCAATGGGCAACCATACAAAGCTCAATCAGCATGGAAAGCTATTTCCCAGTCACTGCATCCCAGCATCTCAGAGCACTGGCCTTCCACTCACTGAAACAACTCGACCCTCTTCAGTCGCTGGATATACATCATGATAGGTTCCTTCAAAGTAAGATATGTTTGAAAAACATACTTTAGTGTGACTCTTACCTTCACATCTGTGAGCACGGCCATCAATCCACGATTAATATTCAGAAGGACTGAGAGGAAGCTCTGAGAGTTCTTGTTCTGAGAGTCCATTTTTTTTTTCCTACGGGAACGATAGTTGGGATCAACAGCAGAAAAATACTGCAAAGTCTCTTCTTCAGATCCACTTTCTTCATCTACACAGGGAAGAGACCTACTATTACAGATTCTGGTAGCTTGATAGAGCAGCAATTTAAAAATGATCACAAAAATACTTTGCATTTATGACCTGCTTATTTTTACAAGAGACAAGATATACCCGTTTTTCTCTTTAGTCCTGAATTTCAAATGTGTACACTATCACTCCAAAGATAATGCACTCAAACAGTAATGAATGATAGAAACGAGAAATATCCACATTACCAAAGAAATGAGAGAGCAGAGTTACAAACAGAAAACTGTCAAACATTTTTAAATTAACAATTAAAAAGACTACTACTTTGTTAATTTGTAAATTAGGCATTTTGATTAGAATAAATTTAAAACATATTACCATAGTGAACTGTAGATTTAAATGGACTAAAACTATCTTTGTTGAAGGTATTAATCAGTTGACTGGCTACTGAAAGCCCAATGCCATAGGAAATATTTTCAAATGTCTCCACTGGTGAAGGAGCTGTTGGCTCCCAGAGAAGCAAGTCATTAAAGACCCTAGAAAGACAAAGTTGAAAAATGAATACATAACTTACAACCTGAAGACAGCCTGAAATCATCTGTACAGATTTCTAGATGATGAAATGGAAATTATACCCTATGAAGAAGTTTTTAAAAGAGTAATTACATTCTTTCGATGGAAAAACAACTGAAATAGTCACTATAGAAAACAAGAGGAGAGGGCTTCGAGCACTAGACTCCTCACCAGATGCCTGCCCAGTTCTACCTGCGCCACACTCGGACTCACACTGTACCATTAGTGTGTATTTTAAAGGTAGAAGCTAATGAAAAATAAAAACCCACAAAGAACAAGAGAAGGATATTCATGCGCAGGAGAGCACCGGGCAAATTCAAGTGCAGACGCTGCTGCACCTCATGGGCTCTCCCATCAGCCCCACGGGGCAGTCAGGGAAGAATCACTGTTGTTAGTTTACCCATGAAGAAATCACCTCACAAAGTTAGGTAAGTGACCTCCCCAAGGTTGCGGGGCCAATGAGTGGAAAAGCTGGGACGAGATTCCAGATTAGGCCCTGCTCTTACTTAGCGCAGTCCTTTCTCTAAAGGTCTGAGATATTCTTTTTCAACAGAAAACACAGCATCACTGGAAAGAACACATGAGATAAAGGATATAAATGAGGCCACAAGGAAGGAGGGGAGAAGCCCCACCAACTAGAGGGAAAAACCCAACAAACACTTATTACCAGTGAGCCACAGCCAGGCTCCATGGCATCCTAGAAATACTTGTCACTACCCAGACACCCTTCTGCCCTAGTTTTAAGAAAATCCCACTTCACAATGTTCTCCCAGAAACTTCGCTTTGGACCACAGCACCTCCTTCACACATACCTGTTCCAATCGCAGCACCTTTAGCACCTGACTGTACTTCCTCCTTGCCCCTTCCTAGAATGCCAGCCCCACCACCTAATCATCGCTACCTGTGCCTAGCCTAGTGCCTGTCACATAGCACTGGCAGCTGCCAAGGAAAGGACCCGTGGATGACTCATGGAAGGAGTGCCAAAGCACAGGCTCTTAAAGCCCAGTGTGAATACCAACCAAAGTGCCAAGCGATGAGGCAGCCTCCCACTTTCCAGCCAACTCCTAAGCTTCTGAGGCTCTGAAGGAACAGAACAGCACTGAGTACTATGACTCTCAGTCAGCACCGAACCCACCCATAGGCCTCTCTTTGGAAGCAGTTTGTGATACCAGGGATACAGGATTGAAAGATATTCTATCTCGGGCACAACCAGTCCCAAAACTCTATGGTTGTACAAATGTGGATGCAGGACAAAAAAGCAAAAGTCTCTACACCTAGACTTTGGCCTGGGGCCCTATTAATATGAGCACTTTTCCTAGGCAGCTCTTTTCCCTTACCATACATTCTGCAATGGTTCTCGTTTCTCGGCGCTTTGAATAAAATCCAACACAACTTGCGAGCTTCAGGCCACTTTACTTTGCTTTCCTATTTATAGCTGACTCAAACAGGAGTAGGCCACAATTCCATCTTGTGTGTGTGTGTGTGTGTGTGTGTATGAGTATATTACCTGCATGTATGTGAGTGTACCTGTGTCATGCAATGCTGCGGAGGTCAGAAGAGGGCTTTGGATTCCCCTGGAACTGGAGTTAAGGACAGTTTATAGCTGCCATGTGGGTGCTAGGAATAGAACCCGGGTCCTCTGCAAGAGCAGTCAGTGCTCTTAACTGCTGAGCCATCTCTCCAGGCCCCACAATCCCATCTTAAAAAAAAGTTTGAGCCAGGCATGGTGGCACTCACCTTTAATCCCAGCTCTTGGGAGCCAGAGGCAGGCATATCTTTGTGAGTTCAAGGCCAACCTGGTTTACACAGTGAGTCCCAGGACAGATGGGGCTACAGAGAGACCCAGTCTCAACAAGAACAATAATTAATTAATTAATTAATAATCCCAAAAGACCTAAGTAGGGCCAATGAGAAGCTCAGCAGGTAAAGGCACTCGCCATTAAGCCTGACAATTGAGTTCAATCCCCAGGACTCGTGTGGTAGAAGGAGAGAACTGACTACCAAAAGTTGCCCTCTGACTTCCACATTCCTGCCACGGCCACACACGCACGCACGCACGCATGCACACATTCATAAAAATAAGTGTTAAAAAGTTTAAAGTGCTAACATTTTCTTCCTATACTGCAATGGTCTGGCATGTGAAACTCATTGTCAAGACTACTGAACTAATGTGTACCCCGGCGGCCTTCCTGGAACTGACTGTCTGATCCTAGGTCTTACAAAGGCAATCAGTGAGAAGACCCAGACTCCACTATTTACAATGATGGAAAAAGGGACAAGAGCTATGTGGTACCTAGTAAACCTACAGCAGAAACAGCACTGGCAGTCTCTGAGGATTAGTGGGAGTGAGAACATGCTTCCATGTGGGAAACTAGAAATCACAAGCACTAAGGACTTCCCGTCTTTCAGGAATGCTCAGTCCTTCAAGGGCAGGAATCCTAACAGTAAACCAGTCACTGCTCTCTAAACTTTCCAAGCGTTACATCATTTAATCCTCCAAAGAGCCCTTCTAGGTGAGCACCACAGTCATCTCTATTTGACAGATGAAGGAATTGAGGCTTATGAAGGCTACATAAAGTATCCATAGTCATCAAAAGTCTATGGCCTAGAATTCCATCTGTTTGCTTGGTAGATATGGTAAGGAGTATTTGATCAATTAAAAATTTGGTATGCAAGGTTTGTAAGTATAATTGAAAACTTTAACAGATGCCTTTGAATTCAGAGAAGAGATGTTTCCTGTATAATGAATCTAGGATTCTGATTCTATACCAGTACCTGCTGGCCCTCTACACAAGTATCTTCTAACTCTTTTCATGCTATTGCATGTGTAGAAAAAAAAGAAAAAAAAAACAAAACAGCACTTGCTCAGCTCTGTGCAGTAAGCTAACACAGCCAACCAGCCAACCTGAAGGGTGAAAGAATAAGTAAGCATCCCACACACTAGCAACCCAGGTACCAGACACACAGGTTGGGACAGTCTGCCACAACAATGCACTGTAATGTAAAGGCGCCAAAGGCAACATCGACAGCATACAAAACAAGAGAGACAGACAATACCAGAGCATGTGAAAGAAAGGCAGAAAGGGGTGACTGGAAGCAAGTAGGCAGATTCCAAAGACTCAACTAAATGTGCTCCAACTCACCTATTATAAAGTTTCTCATAAAAGCTTTTACTAGGTAGTGTCATGTGAATATTTGGTAACAGAAGTTCCAGCACATAGTGAGAATTGCTAATGGCTTTATCTTGAAACTCCGTCATTTCTATGGGGTCTCCTGGCATCACCATCTAAAATGTAAGGCAAAAAAAGGCATCAAAGAACTATTTTATGTTTAATACAGAAGTTGCACTTTTTAACCTTCTAAAGCATTGTGTATGCAAATGAACAAGCATAGCATTTAACTAGGGAAAATATACATCAGGAAAAAATATACATCAATCAATCTTGAAGTTGAAAACTAGTACAAAGAATATACAAAGTATATTGTTATTTTTTTATGGTTTAGGGGGCAGTTGTGTGTGGTATTACTGTTGTTTTTACAGTAAGGCATTGTAATGTAGTCCAGGCTGTTCTCAAATTTGCAATCCTCCTGCAATTCTCTCAAATTTACAATTCACCTCCCACACACTAGGATTACAGTTTTCTTTTAAAAATAAAGAACTGACCAAGTGTGGTGGCACATGCCTATAACCCCAGAACTCAAGAGGCTGAGGCAAGAGGATCACAAGTTCAAAGTCTACCTGAGACACACAGAGAGAAGAAAGGAGGGTGGAAGGGAGGGGGGAAGAAGGGGAGGGGAACCAAAACAAACGGGAGGGGAGCATCATTATGTGGCAAGGATGGTATTATTCTCGCATCGCATTGTTTGCTCATATTTTATTTTACCTGTTCATTTTCAAACATTACTCTACGAGAAGAAAAAGGAGATGGGGCTGGTCTCCTCAAGTCACAGACATCTTTCAGGGAATGAGCACCTCCTTCCTCCTCTTCCTGGTAGGGGCCATCGTTCTCTTCCTCCTCCTCCGCAGCTGCTATTCTCTCCAAAATGGAGTGCATGGCTGGTGGGTTTATCTTCAGAACCATTCTGATAGCAAAAACAATTTGAAAAATCAAGATCTAAGCATAAACAGCAAAATTTTCACTTTCATACAAATTAACACAAAGAAAACTGATTAAACCTTAATTGGATTTGACTTTGTTCTGTAAGTCAGGGTCCACTATGTAGCCCAGGATGGCCTGGACGCCTCATCGTCCTACCTCAGCCTTCCAAGTATAAAGTTTTTAAATTTTATTAGCAGCCAGCAAATTCTCTTAAGAATTTAAGTTATTATTCAAGAAAATCCTTTCACATATAGTCTGTTCTACTACAATGAAATACTTGCCTACCTAAGACACTTCAATTGACAGAGAGATAGAGACAAATTGATAGACTGATAGATGGATGAATGGATACATAATTGGTTTCAATTTAAAAAAAAAAAAAAAAAAAAAGATTAGGGAACAGTTTTAAAACTGCCACCAAAAGTGAGGTTCTCGACCAGGAATTTGAACACTAAAGTGATTTGCTGAAGCTGTTTGCATCTAATGAGCTCACCCCTTTCCTTACCTTCTACAGAACATCACTAGCATACAGCACAGGCTTTTTACTCTCCTTTCATCACTCCACCAGCCAATCGTTACAAGGACGGATGGAGTCCTCAAACAAAACAACTGTGCTACATCTAACAACTTTACTCCCTAAGCTGGTAGAACTATTTGGTTCTACTAAACTATCAAAACCCTGTGTCCTAACTTATGGGCGTCCCAATATAAACTGTGCTTGTAAATGACCTAACTGAAATAGATCCAGCTCTTAGGATAAATACTACTGCTATAAATTCATGCTCCTTATCAGGTATCTACTGGCAATGCCTGTCCTAAGAATCTAATAGGTGAATACATAGCAGGGGAGGGGGTCAAAGAAAATAGGCAGGAAAATGGTAAAATTTAACTCATAAACAGCCTTCATATACTCAGTTTTCTATATAAGAATAGATTGTTATGTGAAATAAACTAAGATTTAAAAGTATGATATAGTCAAGCATGGTGGTGAGTGCCTTTAATTCCAGCATTCAGGAGGCAGAGGCAGGAGGATCTCTGTGAGATCAAGGCCAGCTGGGGCTATAGGGAGACCATGTCTCAAAAAAATAAAAGAAAATAAATAAAAGAAAAAATTGCAGGCCCACTCGCAGGCTAATATCACGGAAAGACTCAACGAGCACAAGTTCTCAATGTCCAGCTGCAGATGACAACCACCTGCCAAAACTTCAAAACATACGGATGTCCAGGCCCTAGCCCAGTATTTTAGGTTGGAACCTGAGTCAGTAACATTCTGTCAGAGCTTGCCAAATTTGTAAAATTATGTTCAAAAGCAAGCAGCAACTATAAAATTCATATGAAACTACCCAATGGTACTTTATTAGTTCTACTATACCTTGGAAAGTTTACTTTTTTTGGAGGGAGGGTACTTTTGAGACAGGATCTCACGTAGCCCAGGCTGGCCTTGAACTCACTATGTAGTAGTCCTGATCATCTTGCCACCACATGCTGAGTGCTGAGATTATAGACATTTATGACTATACTTGGCTAGCCAACATTTTTTTTTTTAGTGTTTTGCTTACATGTATATAAGTGCACCCATGTGCGCAATGCCTGCACAAGTCAAAAAAGGGTGTTTGATCCCCTGGAACTGGAGTTACATGTGGTTGTTAGCTGCCATGTGGGTGCTGGGAACTAAACCTGGGTCCTCTGCAAGAGCAGCCAGTGCTCTTAACCACTGAGGCATGTCTCTGGTCCCACCCTGGATTATTTTTAAGATGACTGATGACTCTTGCACTCAGCACAGTAGGTAACTTGAAACCAAAGAATATTCCTGCACCTCCTTCTAGTTCTCAGTCCTTAGCACACTTTCATAGAGCACCACCTGACAGTTTCCATCTGTCCATCTGTCTCAGCTTCTTTCATGGGGGCTGACTTTATTTAGCTTGACTTTAATAACCAAAATGCTGATTATAAGAATTACTATATTTTATTTCTGAAAGGAAAATTCCATTATACCTATACATTTGCTTACCGTGGCCAGTCAAAGTCATCTGATGATGTTGTATCTCCATCTACTCCACCAGACACATGGAAAAACTTAATAGACGGTTCTCCTTTCTCCTCCTGGAACGACCCTAAGAAACCAGGATGGATTTGCTGGAATGCATTGCTTCTCTTGTGCCCAATGACAAGATCCTTCACCCTTAAACGTGATCCACACCACCATACTCTACAGCATTTACTCATCTGCCCCCACTTCAACGTGACATGTGGTACACAGGATGTGTAGATAAAGATGCTGGTGGGGGTAGGTGGTAAAGCTCAGGAAAAATGGGGGTAGGGTCTAAATGGGACCAAAATGCAGTGTATGAAATCCTCAAAGAATCAATAAAAATATATTTTAAGATGGTTTTTATTCAAACTAAAATTCTTAAGTACTAATATTTAACGTATAGGACACAATTATTGCATAGCAAATGTTACCACTTACTGTATATTGGAAAGATTATTTCTTTTATGTGGATGAGTGTGTGTGTGTGTGTGTGTGAGGCATATGCACGTGTGGCGTGTGCACACGTGTGTGCAAATGTGTGCACCTGTGTGTGAGCCCATGGAAGTCAGAGAAGGGTACCAGATGTCCTCCATCACTCTCCATCTTATCCCTTTGAGGCAAGGTCTCTTCCTGAACCTGGGACGCATGGCTTTGTTTTTTTGTTTTTCTAGCTAAGCTGGCAGGCAGCAAGTCCCAGTGGTCCTCCTACCACACCCTCACCCCCAGCATTGATGTTTCAGGTACATGCAAAACCACACTCAGCTTGTTACATGGATGCTGGAATCCAAACTCAGTTCTACATGGTTGTACTTAACCACTGAGTCATCTTTCCAGCTTGTGGCCTGGGGATAGAGGTCAGAGGCAGAGCACCTGCCTAGCTTGTATAAGGCCTCCTTGTTCAAACTCCAACATGGCAAAAAAGAAAAAAAGCAAAGTATATGTAGGTAATGTGCCACTAGAAACCTAAAGATAGCAAGTGTATTACTTCAACTGGTGCTTTGTACCAAGTACTAGAAGAAGTACCTAAATTCAAAGCAATTCTACACTGTTCGTCTTTTCATTGCCTTTCAGAACCAAAGACCAGCTTTCCTCCAAAACAGGGAGCTTCATGCCAGCAGAGACAGGGATGATCAGATAATATCTAAATGTCCTCTTGTCAAGTAGTAATTGGCACATGCCAACTTAAAATATCTCCAAAGATACGTGACATTCAGAGTTCAAACAGGTAAGGGAAACTTCTGCAGCCTGGGGTGTACAGAGAATGGGAGACAGAGGCAGTGGCTGTGCTCACCCCAAGTTCTCATGCCTCTCCTCATTAGCCTGAAGAATTCCATTACAGAAAACCTCAGACAGGTTTGACAAAGAAGTCACCAGAAGTTAGTAAGTATAATGGTTGAGAACGCGAGCTCTGGTGTCAGAGTTGTATTTTAATTTAGACTTTTGCCGTTCACTACGTGATCTGGGAAGACACCTTCTCTTGAGCCCAGATTGGAAATTCTAAGCATATGATGATGAGCAGAACTAAAGGAAACAAGAGAATGTATGTGAAGTGCTCAGCACAGGACCCAACAAACAGGAACACCCAGGACACTGTGGCTACCAGCAGCTACAGGAAGGGTGAAGTGACGATGAAACCAAGCTGCACACTGCACACTGCACACTGCACACTGCACACTGCCACAACACCCGCTACAGAAACGGAACCTTACCAAAGCAAACCAATCACTGTCCTTGGTCAACTTTTTAAAACTGCCCACGATTTGTACATGATTCTGGCAGAGACTTGTTCTCTACCTTTGGGACTGTGGGCACTGTCATGGAAGGCTCAGCAACAGCGGTCTGCATCTGCTCTGGTCTTCCACAGTGTGTGGGTCTTACCTGCTAGTTCCCTAAGAGTCAGTTCCAGTTTAATCTGCTCTGGAGTGGATCCGCCAACAAACTCTGTCTTAAACTCCAGATCTGTGAATGTTAAGTGTAGGATCTCCTTCTGCAGAGACTTCTTAAACCAGGGTCCTCTTTCCTGATCAGACCGAAGATCAGGTATGGGGAAGCGAACAGAAAGATGTAACGCTGGGGTGGCAACTTGTACTGTCACCCGACAATTTGCAGGACTGTGTGAGTCGTCTAGAAATACTTCAGTGAAAGCCTTGTGCTAAAACATACAAAACACGAAAAGCCAAAATCTTAAGTAAATAAACTTAAATAACACCCATATTCAGCATTTCAATATGCACAGTCACCATTTCTCCATGTGCTACAATGCATCAAATACAATTCAAATAAACAACTACCATAATAACTCAGTATAATGAAATTTAATATGTAACAACTATTGACAAAAGTCAGAACTGTTGGCAACAACTGAACCCTGATATACAAATAAGTAAACCAAAATAAAAACTGACCCAAAGTAAAGGCAGGCATGATAGATACAAATGTATCTTACTATAAACTAAAAGGAGGGAAAAAGTATAAATTAGCCTACTAACAAATTCCATAAGGTTAAATCATACTTCAGCATTCAACACTCAGTTTGAAGAATTTACTCATCAATATGTGACACTAAAGACTCAATGTAAAGGTCGGGCATAGTGGTGCACACCTTTAATCCCAGCACTCGGGAGGCAGAGGCAGGCGGATGGATCTCTGTGAGAGGGCAGCCTGGTATACATAGTGAGTTCCAGGCTAGCTGTGGCTACAGGGAGACCCTGTCTCAAAAAGCTCCCCTCCGCAAAAAAAAAAAAAAAGGCTCAGTGTGAACTCGGGAATAATGCTGAAACCCCAAGGCTAGTCTCTGACTCATCTTTGTGTTTTCAGACCTATGTCCACAGCCTGCACACCAAAGATTCCAAATGTTGACTAAATGGCTCACCCTGAGTCCCTGTCTGATCTAAGAGTATGCTCCCATTCATGGCTCTTAAAAAAACAAACATGTTATTTAAAAAACTGTCCAAAAACATGCCATTCAAATAGAAGTCCATTTCTAATTTTTCTTTAAAATACATTGAAACTAATAAGCCTTAGTCCACTGCAGGTGGTTAACATCTTCTGAATCAGTCTCTAGCCTCTTAGAAAGCTCCCTTCTGATGCTAGACTGGCACTTCTTAATTAAACTACAGGTTGGCATAAACGGTAATGGGTGTCACCACGGCATCTTCATACATGTCACTGCGCTTCATTCGCATTCATTCCCCTCTTCCACTCCAGCTGGTTCCCAAACCTCCCCGAGTTGTAAACTGGGATTTTAAATAAATCTGTTCTATTTCTTCTTGATTTGGCTTTCTAATCCTAACTCCTACTCTCAGGCAAAAGAAGGGGATGACACACGAAGGCTAACAGGAAGTACAGAGACTAGCCTACAGAACTTAACTAGCAATAGGTGACCATAAAAAATAAAGAACATTGCTTTAATCTAAATACCATGAAGAAAGGGCAAAAGAAGAAAGCAGTAAAGAAAAGACCTCTTTCCCTTTTTTTCTTTTCAGTCCAAGTCTCATGTCGCCTAAACCAGCCTCCAATCACAGTCCTCCTACTGTAGCCAACAGAATGGCTGTGGTTACAAGCATGAGTCACTAATCTAGCCCCTCTCCAACTTAAGCCTGCCTCTCAGCCTGGGCCTGGATCTGAAGCCCCCAAATTTCAACCACCAAGCTCCTAATACACTTCTTACAAATTCATTCCACATACCAGATCTACACCAAAGTGACATGATGTGCCCAAGATTATTGCTCATATTCAAAATCACATCCTCTATTACTTGGGCTTTATTTTTTAGATTATTCGAGAAGTTTATGAGATGAACATAAAATTTTGTAAATGTTACAATACTTTTCTAAAATTCAAAAAAGGGAGTCTATGGTTATTTTTGCAGAAGACCAGGGTTCAAATCCCAGCACCCACAAAGCAGCTAACAACCATCCTATCCATAACTCCAGTTTCAGGGGATCCAATGCCCTCTTCTGTCCTCTGTGGATACTGCACGACATGGATGCACTTATATATAAGGAGGCATAACACTCATACACATAAAACAAAAATAAATTTAAAGCTGGATATGGTGGCCCACCCCTTTAATCCCAGCAATTAGGAGGCAGGGGCAGGTGGATGAATCTCTGAGATTGAGGCCAGCCCGGTCTACATGGAGAGTTCCAGGTCAGCTTGGTCTGCAGGAAGACCCTGTCTCAAAAAACAGACAAAAAAAACCCCCAAAACCTTAATCTAGTTATTATCAAGACAAAGTGGTGTCACAGGGGGGCATGGTGGTACACACCTATAACCCCAGCAATTGGGAGGTAAAGGCAGAAGGATCAGGAATTCAAGGTCACCCTTGGAGGTTGACCTGTGCTACATGAGATCTTATCTCAGAAAACCAAAAGAAATTTAATAATAGTAAGTTTCTATTTTTATTATTAAAAATCAAACCATTTTAATATAGGCTGTTTAATCTATTAGTGCTTTTCTGGAAATTACCCCAATAAGCCAATAAGCTAATTATGATTATTTGCAACTTTCTGAATACTTACCAGACTAATATGCTTATTATACGAAGTGTACATGTGAGAGGCCATCATCTCTACAGTAGTAAGTTTCTGTGGCTGAAGCAAGGAATTTAACCTGTCCACGATACTGATATCCAGCTCACAACATACTGGATTTAATTTAATTTGTAATTCTGCCTTCTGAGGAACTGAACTAAGTCTTGCTTGATTACCCTTTTAAAAAAAGCACAATGTAATTATTAACAATACTACAAAATTGGGTTAAAGACTTACAACTGTGACAAAATAAATATCAAATAACAATTTAAAGGTAGTATCTCACAGAATAATCTTACCTGGGGCCCTCTCGTCTCAAAATGTTTATAGTGAAGCTGAAGACACACGGGCGAGTGGGCATCAGTTCCTTCTTTGCAATGGAAGGTCAGGAGCTTAACGACAAGGATGAAGATAAATTAAACCTCAGGCAGCTGTAATCGATGACAAGACCCACAGGACCAGCACTGTATGGGTAGAAGAGCTCTCTGAAGTCAGAAAAATCTGCAAGCTGCATTTTTGTTACTCCCTAGCAATGCAAAGCTCAGTCAAGCAGCTAACCTCTGTGAGACTCAACATCTCATTTGCAGAATGCAGGCAAGAATTCACATGAATCAATAGCCAAGAAATGACTCTGAAAAGCAATGCAGTTGCAGCAAATGTTCTTTTGCCAGTTTTAACAAGCTACTTAGTCTCACTTTTACATAAGGAAAACATCAGATTAATTGTGAATAAACAAAAACAACTTCATTTGTTTTAACAAGGGCTAGCGCTAGGCAGATATTCAGTATTTGCTCACTAACAGAACTCTTCTGAAATGAAAAATGCTTTGCAAATGAGATAAAGGCATTTGGCTCATAATCTGCCACCTGAAGTATCACTTCTATTTAAAAATGTTTAATAGATTCATATGATGACCTAAAATGCCACACTTTGAAATTTGTTTTAATAATCACAAAGATAAAAAAGTAACACTAGTACTCCTGCATGATTTCTTGCACATTTTAAAGAAAATCACTATTGTTCATTGAACTCTTAAAGAGCAAAACAAATACAAAAATACTTTTAAAGGAAGTATCCAACATTTACCTCTGTATAATGAGGAGGAGAAGAATGAAAATCTGTTGGAAACAGACATTCCAAAAACTCCATCTGCCCAATGGACATGTCGGTGCTAAAGTGCCGGGAAGCTGATCTTTGCCTCTGCTCATAGGACACTTTGATGCCAGTACCTATAAATCTACCATAAAAGGGGCAACACTTCAGGGTATCCATATGCTTCTAGATTAAGCAATATATGATAAGGAGTCAGAGAACAACATACAAATGTTAACAGTACACAGTAACTACCCACTCATTCCAACAAGTTCAAGTTGTTAGTGATAATCAATATGCCTAAGGATATGAACCACAAAAACTGCTTCAAACCTCCCATCCACTCAGTTTTCTCATGGGAAATTTTCCAGGATGCATTTATTTCCCAGCAGGGCCCTTCTTCCCTCTACATTTTCAAACTTATACTGTAGTGAATAAAATATTTCAAATCGGTAAAATATATGGAGAAGTTTCTTTAAAATTATAGAAAAACATCATTAAAACTGGGCATAGTGATGCAGGCCTACAATCCTAGCACTCTGGAAGCTGAGGTAGAAGAATCATGAGTTTGAGAGCAGCCTGCCTTAAAAAACAAAGGGAAGAGGCTGAAGAGATGGCTCTGGTTAAGAGCACTGGTTGTTCTTGCAGAGGACCCAGGTTCGAATCCCAGCACCCACATGGCAGCTAACAACCGTCTAGAGGGGATCAGATGCCCTCTTCTGTCCTCCTTGGGTACTGCATGACACCAGGAGGCAATATACTCATACACATAAAATTTTTTTAATTAATTTTAAAAAAGGAGAAAATATATGCATTATTTGAAAACTTCAGTTGGTGGGATTCAAATTTGTTGTTATATTTTCCACTAGTGGATATCTGAAACTTTGTCAAAAATTAAGAGAAAAAAAATTTTTTTTTTCGTCTTTTTTGAGACAGGGTCTCCCTGTAGTGACAGCTGGCTTAGATTCACTATGGAGACCAGATTGGCCTGGATCCCACATAGATCCACCTGCCTCTGTCCCTGGAGTGCTGGGACTAAAGGCCTGTGCCACCACGCCTGACTCTCAAGAGAAAATGTTTTTACAACTGATCAGAAATACTATGGATGCTGGGCATGGCAGCACATGTCTTTAAGGCCAGCACTCAGGAGGCAGAGGCAAGTAGATCTTGATGGGTTCAAGGTTAGCCTGGTCTACAAATAGCCAGTCTGTGCTACATGGTGAGACCCTATCTTAAAAAAACAAAAAAACAAAACAACAACAAAAAAACAAATACTATGGTCCTAACCTGTAGAGTATTTTCTGATGGGGTCAAAAAACTACTTGGCATGTTAATTTTAACATATCAAGGCCAGGCATGGTGGCACCTACTTTTAATCTCAGTACTCAGAGGGCGAAGGCAGGAGGACCTGTTAGATCAAGGCCAGCTGGAACTACAGGGAGACGCTGTCTCAAAAAAAAGAAAAGAGAAAAGGGCTGGGCCTGGTGGCGCATGCCTTTAATCCCAGCACTTGGGAAGCAGAGGCAGGCGGATCTCTGTGAGTTCAAGACCAGCCTGGTCTATATAGTGAGTTCCAGGTCAGCTGGGGCTATAAGGAGACCCTGTCTCAAAAAGACCAAAAAAAAAAAGAAAAAAACAAAAAACAAAAACACTTCTTAAACAACCTCAAAGTAGGGCTAGGGATGTAACTCAGTTGGTAGAAAACTAGTTTAGCATGCATGAAGACCTGGGTTTAATTTCTGGTACTTCCTAAAGCCCAGGAGGTACAGACAGGAGGATTGGGAGTAAAAGGTCATTTTAGGCTACCTAGGCTAACCTACCAAGTTTGAAGCCAGAGTGGGTTACAACAGAGTCTATGAGAGGGAAGAAGGAAGGAAGGGAGGGAGGGAGGGAGGGAGGGAGGGATTGATTCTCTAAAAGATAAATTACATTTGTCACTAAACAATATATAAAATTATCCCTCAGTTTACAAACTTTATTAAAATACACAGCATTTGCAGGTTAGCATTGTATTTGTGTATCCAATCATCTGCTCATCTATTAGGTCTCAACTGATAAAGGATTGCTGGCTATCTGGACAAGAACCAGTATAGCACCAAGCTTACTTCTGCACAGCCAAGGGCCTAGGGTCATGTTCACCTTCTTCCTCATGAACTCTACTTTCAGCCAGTACTGCTGGTTCAGCATTACCAGTGACAGCGAGAACTGATTCCAAGGTGGTAACAATGTCTGTAGGGACAGCAAAATGTGCTCGCTCTCAAATGTCTACACCTGTATCTGCACAGCTCTGCAAGCTACAGAACGTGAGAGACCCTATACTACGCATCTTTTTAGCATGGCAAGAAAACTTCACTCATTTTCAAATGAAGTGACTTATAAAAACAATTGTAGCAAGGCAGCTAGGTGAACGCAGGAGTACACATTCGATTCTTTCTCAGGAATCATTACCAGTCATGAAAGCTTACCTAAGGTGATCGTGTGAACAAGCTTCTGCAAATACTGCTCGGAAAGACTTAAAATCCTCTGTTGAAAATCTTGCTGGATCAATCTTTTCCATACATGTGAAGAAAGCTATGGCCATAGGTGTCAATGGATTGAGGTTCAGAGATGTTTCAGGGGGAGACAGAGGATCAATGTGAAGCACAGAGATGGAAAAGCTTCCAACAGCCAGTCTACAAATAAGCTCAGGCCTGGATTCATCCACTGAGACAGACCTGGATGGGAGAGCTGAAATGCATGAAATGACACACATAAAATTAACTTAGTTCATGTCACTTACAAAACACTGTATTTACTAACAGTAAATACTAACAGTAAATACTAACAGTAAACAATAAAATCAGACTGGCATACTGGTGGGTCTTATGTCCTGGATCTTTGGTACATGGACTACAAGAATGCCTTGCAATAAATATAAGTGTATGAGCAAATCTTTTACATTAATAAAACTGTACTAGAAGAAATCAAGAATAAAAGCTGTACACAAACTGTCCTTGAAGCTTGGTTTTTATTTCAATTAAATTTTGTACAGTAAGGGTCAAGGGTATAGCTTAGTGGGAAAGGACTTGCCTAACATGCTCAAGGCACTGAGTTCAAACTTGCAGCATGAAAACTCGTATTCTTCTTCAAAGAATATAAAAATAGTGAAAGATGGGGCTGGAGAGATGGCTCAGCAGTTAAGAGCAGTGGCTGCTCTTGCAGAGGACTTGGGTTCAATTCCTGGCACCCACATGATGGCTAACAACCATCTTTAACTACAGTTCCAGGAGATTCAACCCTCTTCTGGCATCTAGAGGCACTGCATGACACAGGTGCACTTATAAATACATGCAGGCAATACACTCAAACACATAAAAATAAAAATAATGAAATATTAAGCTAAAAATGAAAAACTAAACTACTGAAATATGTCAGGTATGGTGGCACATGTCTTTAATCCCAGCACTCAGGAGGCAGAGGCAGAGGCAGGTAGATCTTTATAAGATTCAGGCCAGTCCCATCTACATAGTAAGTTCCAGGCCAGCTGGGCCTATAGGAAGAGCCTGTCTCAAAATACAAAAAGAAAAAAAAAACTCTGGAGGCTGGGGTATAACTCAGTGTTGCAGCATATGCCCAATGCTTTTAAGGTCTTAGGTTCAATCTCCAATGCTACACACACACACACACATACACACACACACACACACACACACACACGAACAAACCCCACACATATCCACATACACACATATATATCTATACCACACACACACAAATCAGATGATTGAATGAAACTTTTAAACTGCAATAATAATTAACATGAAACTTATGGTACAGTTTTTCAAAATATCTATGTACTTCAATATACAAAAGACTATAATGAAGCCAGGCATGGTGGCGCACACCTTTAATCCCAGTACTAGGGAGGCAGAGGCAGATGGATCTCTGTGGGTTCAAGGCTAGCCTGGTCTACACAGCCAGTTTCAGGCCAGCTGGGGCTACAGGGAGATCCTGTCTCAAAAAGACAAAAAAAAAAATTATTTTAAAAAGTAAGTACACCCATGTCATGCAAGCCCACGAAGGTCAGAAGAGGGCATCAGATCCCTTGGAACTGGAGCTACAGACATTTGTTAGCCACCATGTGGCTACTGGGATTCAAACCTGAGTCCTCTGCAAGAGGAGCCAGCACTCCCAATTGCTAAGCTGTCTCTCCCGCCCCTTCTTTCTAAACTGTGTGAATGACCTAGACTAAAAGAGAAATTATGAAAGACAAAAAAAGTGACAGTGTGGAGTGCATGCTCGCCATGAACAAGTCCCGGGGTCCAATCCCCAGAAGCAACATAAAAAGAGTGTGGGTCCTTGGACAGGATAATATATTAAGATCCACCCACTCAGCACTCAGGGACCACTGCAGAAGAGGGAGCGAAAATACTGTGAGAGCCAGGGAGGAGGTGCATGACCATATGCAAATAGCATACTACAGGCTCCTGGGACTTTTATATAAACCTACAGCAATGGTATCAGCATACACAAGACCCATGCAAACGAGCCCACAAAAACCCAGCACAGAACTGTGGAAATGAACAGAAGGCCCCAATCTTAGTCAAAGGATTATTGGCAGCTGATTACTGCTGGGTGAGGAAGAGCTGATCTTCTTAAAGGGAGGGACTCTAGATAGGGCTGGCCAGATCCCAGAGGATGAGCTTGCACTGGGGAACATCTGGGGACACTAACTTTACATGATAGGCCTTAACACAATGAACTACAGTGGGTGGGGGGGCACTATGGGAGGGTGCCAAAAGGGAAGGGGGTATGAAGATTATTTTCTGTATGAAATACACAAAAATTCAATTTAAAAAGTAGATAGATGACAGATAACAAAGATAGATACATAGATACAGACAGATGATAGATAGACATACATACATACAAAGATGAAAGACAGACAGGGAGGGATGGACAGATAGATCTCACATTTATTTTGAAAGGTGGGGAAAAAAAGGCGAAGAGCATTTTTTTGGAGACATACTTTTTTCTTTTAATTTTCAAACTGTCAAAACCTCCAGCAGAAACTAAGCAGTGTCTTACTGGTACTTACCAGCCTTCTGTAAAGGTGCTGGGTGAACCAGGTTAGGTGGGAACGCTGACCCTCTTACCGGCTGCTCTTTATGATCAGGGAACTCTCCCCAAGTTGGCTGAAGCTACAAAAGATTGTTTTAAACGCATGAATAAAGTACAGAATTTTAGAAGAAACTTTTCAAAAGCAACAACAAAAGAAACAGTACTTTTGCTCTCACCCACCCCCACCCTGTCCCCTGCCAGCCTTGGACCCCGGCAGGCTCCAATTCCATCACCTCAGATCCCTGGACTAGCTTCCTAACCCAGACTAGCTACAGTCCCTAGAATAGACTCTACTGGCCCCTGATCTGAGTGGAACAGACCAATTCTCCTACTAACCTGACCAGCCTACCTACTACCCAGTCCCACCATCCACCCAGGCCAGTCTACCACCCTGCAAGAACTTGAAACACTCACCAATTTATCTTCCACACTGAACAAAAAGTAACCAGCTACATAACAATATTAACAGAATCAAAATTAAATTAAACAAAAGCAGAGTAGACGTTCCTGTCGTACATAACCAAAGAACATGCACATGCCCACACGGCAATGCAGAAACACAAACAGTATGAAAAACCACCAGCAAAGCCCACTAGTCCCTCAGAAGTGCACTGCAATGAGAACCACCCTGAACCCAGGATGCAGCACTCAAAAGAATAAATATGATCAAATAGCTTCAAGAAAACACAAACAACTCAAAGAACTCAGGGAGGAAAGGCATAAACTTAATGATGGAAGCCCAAGATATACAAATATGTAGCTTAATAAAATATCAAAAAAAATTTATAATTTGAAAAGTGAATCCACAAAAGAGAAATAGTGAAGAAATGAACATGGGATTGAAAAACTCAGTAAACCAATTAGAAACAATAGGAGAAAAGTCTCACAAGCAGGATGAATGAAATGGAAAACAGAATATCAAGACTGGATGATACAATTGAATATCTGGACTGCTTAAGCAAAGACTTTGTAAAATCTAAAAACACACAGGAATGGAATAATCAGAAAATGTGGGACAACATGAAACAACCAAATCTATTAATTATAGGCATAAAGGAAGGAGAAGAATCGCAGGCCACTGGCATTGAACAGATCTTCAATAGGATTATAGAAGAAAGCTTCCCTAAACTAAGGAAAGGTATACCTATAGAGATTCAAGAAGCACAAAACAGTAATTAAAAGAACAAAAAGTCCCCACCACATATCACAGTAAAAACACTGAATGTACAGAACAAAGAGTGGGTACTGAAAGCTGCTAGAGAAAAACAAGTTACTTATAAAGGAACACCCATCAGAATTACAGCTGACTTTTCAATACAAACTACAAAAGCCAGAACAGCTTATACCAAAGTATTCCTGTTCTAAACAACCATGGATGCCAGCTCTGAATACTTTATCCAGCAAAACTGTCAAGGTCGAATGGAAGTAGAAAACTTTTCATGATGTGAATAGGCTGAAAGAATTCATGCCATCCAAACCAGGCCTACAGAGAACACTCAAAGCAACACAAAGGGTGAAGAAAGGAGTGAGTATACCCAAGAGGCTACAGAAAGAAAAGAAAGGTACAATGACAGAAACACAAAACAGGGCCACAAACACAAAGTTAAAATGACAGTATCCAATTCACACATTTCAATAATAATACTAAATATCAACGGTCTCAACTCCCCTGTCAAAAGTCACAGGCTAGTGCAATGGATCAAGAAAGAAAACCCATTGTTTTTGTTGTCTTCATGAAACTCATCTAACCTTCAAGGATAGACACTATCTTAGAGTGAAAGGATAGAAAAAAATATTCCAAGTAAATGGCCCTAACAAGGAAGCGGGTGGCACAATTCTACTATCTGACAAAATAGACTTCAGTTAAAACTTATCAGAAGAGCTAAAGAGGGTTACTTAATTCTAATAAAAGGAACAATTGACCAAGAAGATAATACATTCATGAACATATATCCACCAAACTCTGGAGCATCCAATTTCATAAAAACAGTACTCCAGGACTATAAAACAAAGATTAATCCCAACTCAGTAACAGTAAGTGACTTTAATACCCCACTATCTTCAACAGACAGGTCAACTGGACAAAGAATAAACAGAGACATCTGAATTAAATTACATCTTACATGAAATGGATCTAACAGACAGCTACAGGATATTCCACCCAAGTACCAAAGAATACACTTTTCACTCAGCAGCTCATGCAAGTTATTCTAAAATTGATCACATTCTGGGACACAAAACAAATCTCAATACAAAAAAATTGAAATAATTCCATGCCTTCTATCAGACCAAAGTGCAATAAAGCTTTTAATTAACAGCAAAAGAAGCCCTAGTAACTACACCAACTCATGGAGATCAAACAACACACTCCTGAATGTTGAATGGCTCAGAAAAGAAATTAAGAAAGAAATAAAAGTATTCCTGGAACAAAATGAAAATAAGAATACAATGCAACAAAACCTCTGGGACACCTTAAAAGCAGTCCTAAGAGGGAAATTTATAGCTTAGTGCCTACATTAAAAAAACCAGAAAGAACACATGTAAATGACTTGACAGTACAACTCATGACAGGAAAGGCAAGAACAAACCAACCCCAAACTTAGTAGATGAAAAGAAATAACAAAAATCAGAGCAGAAATTAATGAAATAGAAACAAAGAAAAAAAATCAATGAATCTAAGAGCTGGGTCTTCAAAAAGTTAAACAAGACAGACCCTTAGCCCAGTTAACCAAAAGAAAGAGCAAATCCAAATGAACAAAATCAGAGAAGCGGAAACACCACAACAAACACCAAAAAATAAAAAAATAAAAAAAATCCCAAACAGTGTAAGGGAATTACATTTGAAAATCTAAAAGAAGTGGAGGAATTTCTAAAGGCATGGACATCACTAAAGTTAAACCAAGAGAAGATCAACAGCCTAAACAGACCATAACAAAAAAGGAAACTGAAACAGTGATACAAAACCTCCCAACTAAAAAAAAGCCCAGGCCCTGATGACTTCACAGCAGGATTCTACCAGACATTCAAAGAAGATCTACAACCAACACTTCTTAAATTACTCAAAAAGACAGAAACAGAGGGAGAACTCCCAAAGTCCTTCTATGAAGCCAGAATCCCTCTAATACCCAAACCAGATAAAGATACACACAAAAAAGAAAACTATACACCCATATCCTTAATGAACACAGATGCAAAGATACTCAACAGAATACTCAAAAGCCACATACAGACACACATCAAAGAGATCATCCACCACCAATCAAGCTGGCTTTATTCCAGAGATGCAGGGTTGGTTCAATACATGTAAGCCAATAAATACAATAAAACACATAAATGGACTTAAAGATAAAAACCACATGGTCATCTAAATAGATGCAGAAAAGGCCTGACAAAATCTCACGTACATCATGTTAAATATCCTAGAAGGAACTGGTCTCGAGGTAACATACTTCAACATAATTAGAGCTATATACAACAAACCCATAGCCAATATCATCCTAAATGGAGAAAAACTGGAAGTATTCCCATTAAAATCAGGAACCAGACAAGGATGCCCACTATCTCCACTCCTTTTCAGTATAGTGCTTGGTGAGGATGGTCCAAGAGACTCCCAAAATAACACAGGTTATTGCCAAATCTCTTGGTTATCTCCCAAAGCTGGTAGATAAGACATACTTCAAATACAGGACTTGAAACAATGGAGCAGGAACTGATCTGGAAGCCTTCTAACCAAATTTTGGCTATCATAATGCTAGATGATGATATGTAAACCGCCAAGGGAGAAAAATAATCAATGGTCCAACCCAGTCGTAAAGCCTAATAACCATAACGAGCAGCATGGCAAACTACCTCTATTGGTGCAGTACTGGCACTGTTATCTGAGGGGAGGGGGTGTAATCAACAATTATCTAACTGTACTTAAAGCCCTCTCAATGGGAGGGAATTCATGGGTGGCACTGTAAACTCAGCCAAATACAGATGGCAGGAGAGGACACAGAACCTAGAGAAAAACCCATCTTTTTCATACCTCTAGAAAAATGAAATTTATTACTATATGCTAAATGCCAATCCTTGTATTTACAGACAAGCATTCCATATACCACTTATCAAAGCAGCTTTTCACAACAGATGGAGGCTACTGCAGAATTGCATATCTGGTCAGACACAGGAAACATAGATCTAAGAGATGCCCAGTACTAGGTGACACATCTACAGTTGAACCTCTACAACTAAGGCTCATGGAACACAGAGGAACAAGGGATAGAGAGAAAACTAATGCATCCCTCAACTCTCACCAGTAAAGCTTTCTGGGTTTTTTGTTTTGTTTTGTTTTTTTGGTCGTCTTTTTGAGACAGGGTCTCCCTGTAGCCCCAGCTGGCCTGGAACTCACTATGTAGACCATACTGGCCTTGAAATCACAGAGATCTGCCTGCCTCTGCCTCCCAAGGCATATGCCACCATGCCCGGGCAGTAAAGCTTTCTTATACAACACAGTGTGATGCACACAGAAGGCCACAACTGGCCAAGTTTGAAAGACTAAGAGACTGAAGAGTGTAAGATAGGACTAATATATGGAAACTCATCCCCCGTGACTCTGTGACCATTGCAGAAGAGAAGGGCGGAAAGACTGTAAGAGCCAGGGCTGGTTCATGAACATAGGGATGCAGAGGCTTTCAGGCCACTGGAAGCTTGCACATGTAAAGTTGTGGCAATGGTGGCATCGAGCACAGGACCCATGCCAACTCAATTAAATAAGAGCCCAAAGGGGAGGAAAGAAATGGGTGGCAGGCCGGCACTAGACTGAGAACTACTGGAGACTGATTGCTGCTGGGTGAGGGAGAGTATGCCTTACATACGATCTCTAGATGGGCTGACTAGATTCCAGTGGACGAATTTATACTGAAGGACATTTGGGTACAAATGCCTGAATGGGTAGGACTTAACAGATATGGCAGAATATATCAGGTCCAGTGGGGGACGGGGTAGGCATGGATGGGAAAGGGAAGTCTAAATTTGATTAAGAACTGTTGTGTGAAATTACAAAACTTCAATAAAAAAGAATATAAAAAAAGAAATAGTACTTTACCACAGTAGCGCTCAATGGAGATCCTGCTGGTGTACTGGTATATGTACTCGTTAGTGATAACTCCAGGTCCATGTGTGGGGGGTCCCCAAGGGGTGGGAGAGAAGAGAGACTATGCGACATGTCCATATCAGCCATGGAAAAGAAGACTTCTTCTTCTGGAAACAATTAAACTTTGTCACTTCCATACAGCTCCATTGCAAGTCTTTAACATAGTTTAACAGAACTAATAGAGCCTTCCATCTGATTATCTAAGATACAGTGATGCCCCAAATTGTATGTTACTTCAAACAGAATCATGTACTTTGAACAAGCTGTCAATGGCATAGTGAAAACTCAACTCAGTATTAAATAACAAAGGCTAAGGCCTCCTACTCATGAATATTTTGGGTTTTTCAGTATATGATATGCAGACATATAGTATATTGTTCAACTGTCATCTGACAACTTAGAAGTTAAAATTCAGATTTTTCAAACATTATCAGCATGCATGAGGGCCTAAGTTTTGACCCCCGCATCAAAAAGTAAATAATGAAATATTTAACTACAGTACAGTCTGACTTCAGGTGGCTACAGCTATTTCCTGGGGAAGCAAACACATTACCGTTCTATTTACAGTTCAGTTCCTTTTTCTGGTGACTGTCTGACCTTCACACATGAAGCTTGTTATGTCCAAAATTTCTAGAGCAGACTTTATTTTTTTTTATTTATTCTTTTTTTTTTTTTTTTTTTTTGGTCTTTTTGAGACAGGGTCTCCCTGTAGCCCCAGCTGTCCTGGAACTCACTATGTAGACCAGGCTGGCCTTGAACTCACAGAGATCCTCCTGCCTCTGCCTCCCAAGTGCTGGGATTAAAGGCATGTGCCACCACGCCTGGCTATTATTTATTCTTTTTAAACATGTTTTAAGTGTATTGCCTGCATGTGTTAAAGTGTACCCATGCCATGCAATGCCCATTCAGGTCAGAAGAGGGCACTGGATCTCCTAGAACTGGAGATATGACAGCTGTTAGCTGCCATGTGGGTGCTGGGAATCGAACCCAGGTCCTCTGCAAAAGCGGTCAGTGCTCTTAACCACTGAGCCATCTCTCTAGCCCCTAATTCTTAATACTTACAGTATTAGTGCTCATACATTCTGAAATGCTTGTAAATGTAAAGTAAGCTGGGTGATTATATTTACAAGTAATTGATGGGAAGATTAACAAGAGTTTCCTTTTTAAAGCTATCCACTATACATAAGCACATAATCTGACAGAATTACTTCACTTAGGAAAAAAAATTATTATTCACAAGGCAAAACTATACAGTCAAAGAAAGGTGATGATGGTAACCACTGGCTGGCATACACTGGAAAGCTACGGGTTAGTAGAACTTACCATAAAATCTCCTTACAGCATGAGGTTTTGTTTTTTCACTGCTAAACTCTTTTCACAGAAGCCCAAATTACTTTAAGTTTACCTATGATGATAATGTATGATTCTAGTGTCAACTTTGAATTGCTTACCACGGCTAGAAGGTGTACGAGCCGTTTCTGTCTCATAAAAGCTCTTCTCTGAAGACACACCCATCGAGAGGGAATCTTTTCTCAGATAGTACCGGTTTAGCTCCATCTGAACTCGGTACTCATCCTCCTGCTGCATGGGGCGGCTTTTCCTGTCTTTATTAGCTAACCCTATTTTGCTAGAATTTTCTACAAGTATACAAAAGGAAAGTAAAATTAAATTATAGTTAGTTATTTAAGCATTACTTTCCCACTTATACAAAACCACTGGCAGCCTGCCCACAGCCAGTGCAAACCACTATTATTCAATATTAAGCAGAGTCTAAGCCACAATTTTAACCAAATAGCCAAGAATCAAAAGCTCTTCCAACAGTTAGGTACAAGTCACTACAGTAGTCCTTTTCACTGTGTAAGAATGTGCCCTCAGTTACATGACATGCTACCCCAATCAAAGACAGAAAACTTTTAAAATGAATGTGACACAAGTAGTCTGAATGCAAGCTTACACCATGACAGCATAATTTAAAAGACTCAATCTAATTAACTACTTAGAATTCCTTCTTACATCTTTAATATCAAATACTCAAAAATAATAAATTTTCCTATATGTACGTTATGTATTTCAGTTTAAAGGATTAAAGGAAATAATCATAACAGAGCCATACTTGCCTGGTCCAGCAATAGCTGCTAACATATCCAAAAGCAAATGTACCTGTCTTGGCGACAGGAACAGATGAACGGAGTCTATCTGTCCATCAACATCCAACTTTAAAAGACAGAAACAGTTGGGGATTAAATACTTCATAAGCTTGTGGCCATGAGTTTCGGTAATCTAAGGCACTGAGACTACTACTGCTAGTCATGGATGCCATCACTTAATCTCTCTACTAATGCACACAATCTACATGAAGAGACACAAAAGCCAAACTGCTGCTGTAGGAGGGAAAATTCTAAGGAATTCCATGTCAAGGCCAAAGTCATGCTTGGCTTCTTTAAGTCTTATCTAGGGGCCTTAAAAACAGTCTCCGTGAATGATAGCAATAGCACAGTATTCATCACCCTTCAGAAAACTACATCCCATCATCTTTACAGCTCTATCCAAACCTAGAGCAAATGAAGTCAGCTTTCATAGACGGTCTGGGGCCATGCTGTGAAGACCTCCCTACAGCATACTCTCAGAGCCTACAAAATCTATTCTCAACAGTAATCATTATAATCATTACTATTGTTTTCTGAGCATTAGCTACTATACAAGGTATATACAAGATAATCCTCCTTTATCTAGTTCGTGTGTGTATGTGCACACACAGGTGTGAATACATGTGAAAGTCAGAAGATAACCTCGGAAACCATCAACCTTGTGTTTTGAGGCAAAATCTCCCCTAAAGCTTGCCAAATGGGCTAGACTGACTGGCCAGCGAACTCCAGACCTCCAGTCTCTAACCCACCCCCAGCACTGAGATCCTAAGTGTATGCCACCTTGCCTGGCTTTTGTTCTGTTGTTTGAGGGTTTTTTTGGGGGGGAGGGGGGTTGTTTTTTTTTAAGACAGGGTCTCAACCATGTAGCCTTGGCTGGCCCTGGAACTCACTTTGTAGACTAGGCTGGCCTCTGCCTCCCAAGTGCAGAGATTATAATCATGTACCACCATGCCCTGCCTTGCCTGACTTTTTTTCATGGACTCTAAGGATAGAACTTAGAACCTTATACTTGGGCAGCATTTTAACAACTGAGCTGTGACCTGGCACCTGTGCTCTAGTTCTTACTACTGTTTCTGTTTTACAGGTAGGGAAACAGGTTCACAAAGATTACATAGATCCACACCCAGACTTTACCTAGGCTAACACAGATACAAACTCCTTACTCCTCCCACAACACGGCTCTCCTGTGCCACCCACAGACTGATTGTTAATGGGGTTTCTTAGTGATTGCTGACATCTAGGCCATATCCTTAATACAGGCAAAGTGAGTAAAGGTGTTTCTGATTATATGACAATTATTTTTTATTTTCTTGGTATTGAAGGCACAGTCTCTGGTCGTCACTAGAATGGAAGATTAAGAAGTTCATTTCTAATTTTCATAAAAATATTTCATTATTAGTTCATTCTGAATTTGGAATACAAAAAAAAAAGGACTTACTTTTGAAAATACATGATTAAATAACAACTAAACATTCTCAACGTTAAGGTAGTAACAAAAGAAAAAGTCTCCAAATTCAATCCAGATGGCTCCCTAGTTTCATGTCCCCCTGACAGCTGCTGAAGTATACCATGTGAGATTCAGACTTACATGCTGCTCCATTAAGAGAAGACCCAACAAAGGTTCTATTATGAAAAGCAATAGCAAGAATCTTTCATAGCATTTGAACCCCGTTCAAAGACTTGAGCTCAATGTGCACTGCAAGAAACTAAAGATGGAACACTCCATGTGCCCACTCCAATGTCTACAGCTGTGTTAAGGTTTCTAAACTCTGTGCCTCTCAATGCTCATGTCTACAGCTTTTATTTTTCCATATAGCACACATTTACATTAAGCAAAATATACACAAATACTCAAGTTACCAAGCAGAAATTAATGTATACGCCGGGTGTGGTGGCATACATCTTTAATCCCAGCACTCAGAAGGCAGAGGCAGGCAGACCTCTGCCAGGCCAGTTGGAACTACAGGGAGACCCTATCTCAAAAAAATAAAAACAAAAACTAATGTAAAGACAAGTGTCTCCAAATATTCAACATTCAACACAATGCCAGGATACAAAACTTCCAGATGTTCTTGTCACCTAATATGAAGAACTCTAGAATAAATAGCACATATGCAAATCAATACATAATGCAATGCAGAAAACTTTATATTTGCATAAACAAAGCATACAAATGTTGAAGACTAATCAAAACAGAATTAGGAAAGTGATTGCTATGGCTCTTCCTTCTTAAAGAAATGGCAAGTACATTCCCCAAAGACGCATATGCTGGTTTCCCAAGATGTTGCCATGGCAGGGCAGTCCCTGCAGTATTTATAGCTATCAAAGACTATCTGCTCCATAACAATCCACTTATGCTATTTCATGAAGACTGTAAAGACCTAATAAAGGATTTCTTAACTGGTAAGACAGGAGAGAACAGCACACAAAGCGGGTAGGGGTGCAGGTATTCAGCCATCAGTAATAGGAATGTCTTCACTCTAAGAGGCACTTTCTTCCTTTGAATCTAGTTGAGGGTTTCAATCCAAGAATTGAGGAGATCCTCTGATAATCTTTCTATACATCTTCGTAAGTATTTAGTGGATTCCTCTTCTGTTCCCGTGGGAAACCTATGCCCCTATTCAAATTCTTGGGACAGATGCAGAGATATGTGGAATATAATCTTTGCCTTAATGAACACTGAGAGTGAAGACAGTTTAGTTGCAGGACAGTGTACAGCAGTCAACCAGTGTGTCCCTGCACTGACTGAAGGCCTAGAGTTCAGTAGAGAACAAAACAGGGCACCAACCTTAGCGCCAGGAAGAACTTCATTCTGCTTCAGTGTGAGGCTCAACTCCAGCCTGCCGATTAACCCTCCGATCTGCACTGGGTCAGAGGGTGCTATCTCTGGTAAACTTCTAGTTAGTTGTGGGTGTGGCTCATAAACAATTTTGGGGTTCCAGCTAGGTGAGAGTTTTGGCTCAGTTTCCTACAGTGATACAAAAAGAACAAAATAACTATTTAAAATATTTTAGCATAAATAAGTCATGGAGTAAAATATAGATGTTGACTTGAAAATAAAGTATTTGACATGCAAAACTGTACTGTTACACTGTATGTACCATTACCTCATAGCTAAAATGAAAGAGTACTATGTTAGTATAGAGCCTTGAAAATACAAACCTAGAAGAGTACTTCATGAAAAAAGTACAGGAGATGGTGTGTTGGTGTGAATGAAAATGTCCCCCATAGGCCGGGCATGGTGGCACATGCTTGCTTTTAATCCCAGCACTCGGGAGGCAGAGGCAGAGGCAGGCAGATCTCTGTGAGTTCAAGATCAGCCTGGTCTACAAAGAAAGTTCCAGGCCAGCCAGGGATACAAGGAGACCCTGTCTCCAAAAGACCCAAGCATTTGGACATTTTGTATCCAGTTGATGGTGCTGTTTTAGGAGGGCTTAGAAGATGTGGCCATGCTGAAGGAAGCATGTCACTGGGGATGGTCTTAGAGAGTTCTCAGGCCTTGCTGGATCTTCAGTCGCTCTCTTTTCCTGTACCTGTTTGAAGATGTGAGAGTTTAGCTTCTACTCTAGCCACCACTGCCACCATGCCTCCCTGCCATGACAGACTCTTACGCCTTTGGAACCATAAGCTAAATAAATTCTTCCTTTTATGAGTTCCCTTGGTCATGGTGTTTCTATCACAGTAACAGGAAAGTGACTAGTGCAGATGGCTCAGCAAGGAAAGGCACTTTCCACAAAAACCTGGAGACCAGAGTCTGATCTGGGAACCCACATAAAGGCAGAAAGAAAGAACTAACCCCACAGCTTTGTCATCTGATTGTCATACATACAACACACGTGCACCCACATACAATAATATACTAATTCAATTTTTTAAAAAGAAAAAAGCCAGGCATGCCTTTAATCCCGGTACTCAAGAAGTAGAGGCAGGCAGATCTCTGTGAGTTCCAGGCCAGCTGGGGCTATAAGGAGACCATGTCTCAAAAAGACCAAAAAGAAAAAATAATAGTATCTGTTCAAATAATACACAGTATATAAGTAAGAAAACTGAACTGATATGGAGACTAACACCTGTAATCCTAGTACTTGGGAGGCTGAGGCAGGAGACTAATAGTTTGAAAACAACCTGAGCTATACAGTGACAAGAGTAAGACCCTATTTCAAAAATATAAATAGAGCTGGGCCTGGTGGTACATGCCTTTAATCCCAGCACTCAGGTGGCACAGGTAGGCAGATCACTTTAAGTTTAAGGTCAGCAGGGTCTATATAGGGAGTTCCAGGCCAGCCAGGGCTACACAGAATATATATATATATATATATACACATACAAATAAAGGCAAATTATAAAATACGTAATTTATAAAGTGATTCTGGGCTTTGGGAAGAAATTAGAGTAATTATATACCACCCCCTTTATGGTCTTTTTGAGATAGGGTCTCTGTGTAGCCCCAGCTGGCCTAGAACTCACTATGTAGACCAGGCTGGCCTTGAACTCACAGAAATTCGCATGCCTCTGCCTCTGGAGTGCTGGGATTAAAGGCGTGCAGCAATACATCCAGCCATAAAACATCTTTTAAGATATGATTTCTATGATAAATTTTCAATAATATAACCCTTATGAAAGGTAACACTGCTTTTTTATGTAAAAGGGTATTAGATGCTGAAAAGAAGCAATCTAAGGAAGGAAGGACCTGCTTTCTTTCAGTTCAAGGAGCTGCAGTCCTTGCAGGGAAGGTACGGCAACAGGAGGCCACCTGGTCACACTGCTTGTACAGTAGGAAAGCAAGGCAGGGTTAGCTTGCTTTCTACTTTTTATTCAATCTGAGATCCAGACCATGGAATTAGGGTGGGTCTTCCCACCTCAATTAACCAAATCTAGATAAGCCTTACATCATACCCAGAGGATTGCTTCCAAGGTGATTCTAAATCCCATCATGGTGATAATCAAGACTATTACTGTCTACTGCTTGTTGTGGAACATGCCTTTAATCCCTGCACTTTAATCCTTCCAGCAGAGGCAGGTGGCTCCCTGAGTTCAAGCCTAGCCCAGTATACATAGTGAATTCCAGACCAGCTGGGACTACAGGAAGACACTGTCTCAAAAAAAAAAAGAAAGAAAAAAATCAACTACCACAGATGTTAATGTATCATTTTCCTAAAGATACAGTCTGAAACATCTGTCTTTCAAACTAATAAACAGCAAACTAGTAAAACAGGTAATAAGGATAAACAGATGCATAATCCCATGAACTGAATATTTGTGTTAACTACTTTCCCAGACGGAGATTCATTAGCATGTTGTATAGAGGAAATTTAAGAGTCCTCATTTTGCTTTTCCCTAGATGACTCACTATGTAGCCCAAATTGGCCTCAAACTTGCAAGCCTCCTGCCTCAGCCTCCCAAATGCTGGGATTACAAGTATGTACCCCACACCTGCCTAAAAGCCTTCATTTAAGCCATCTAAAAAAATCACAATCAAGGGGCTGGAGAAATTGCTCAGCGGTTAAGAGCACTGGCTGTTCTTGTACAGGACCTGAGTTCCACTCCCAGCACCCACAGGGCAGCTAACAACCATCTATAACTCTAGTTCCAAGAGAACCTGACACCTTCTTCTGGCCTCAGTGGGCACTGCATGCATGTGGTATACTTATACACATGCAGGCAAAACACTCTACACATTAAAAATAAATAAAATATAAAATTGATGATGGTGTTGGGGTTGCCTGGTTTTTGTTTGAGACAGGGTCCCATGTATTTGTAGGCTGGCCTTGAACTCAGTATCTGAGGCTGACTTTGAATCTCTGATCTCTGGTCCTCCTGACTGTACTTCCCAAGTGCTAAGATGGCACGGCATGCACAACCATGCTCAGTTTTACGCAGTGCTAGTGATGGGGCCTGGAGCTTCTACCAACCCAGCCACATCCCTAGTCTTCTTTAGGGGATTTTTGCTTTGTTTTTCTTACCACTGGTGCAGTTGAACACACTGGGGAAGACTTTGTCGAAGCAGAAAACTCATCCCAGAAGAGAGACACTCCAGAGAGCTGAAGCAACTTATGGGCAAAAGCTGTGGGCTGATGTACATTAATTCCTGAGGATTCATCAGCAGTTTCATCACAGTAGACAGTTCTGAAAGTTAAAAAGATCACTTACATAAAACTCCTAGAAAAACTTATTTGAGATAGTGTTTTAAAACGGAGCGCTTTGGGGGCTGGAGAGATGGCTCAGCAGTTAAGCTGCTCTTGAAGAAGACCTGGGTTAGAATCCCAGGACCCACGTGGTGGCTAACAACCATCCAGAACTCAGCTTCCAAGGGATTTGATCCCCTCTTCTGTCCTCCACATGCACTGCATGACACGGGTGCACTTATATAAGTGCAGGTAAAACACTAATACACATGAAAAAAAAAAAACCCTTTTTAACTAAAAAATAATAAAATGGAGAGCTTTTAAGTTAAAGGGGAGGTTCAGTGCTAGCCCTCCTTAGACTATGCCCATAAAAATAATGCTTGCACCCAGCTTTTAGGAGGTGGAGGCAGGAGCATCAAGAGTTCAAGGCTGGTCTCAGCTGCATAACAAGTTTCAAGGGCAGCCTGAACTACATGAGAGCCTGTCTCAAAAAAAATTTTTTTAAATGGAGATTAGTGGAAATGGGAACGGAACAAGAGAGGATAACTGTGTGTGTGTGTGTGTGTGTGTGTGTGTGTGTGTATACAATCAAAATACATTATGTACATGCATGAAACTGTCATAATGAAAACCCACTATTATAAATAGTTAATATAAAACATTTTAAGCCTATAATGTAGGTTAGTCAGCACCACTGCACTCTAAGAGATGGGGGTCTACGTGTAGCCCAGGCTGTCTCAAACTCAGTCTTCAACCTCATGCTCCCAAGTACTAAGATTACAGGAGTGCACCACCATGCATAGCCTCAAAATTACCTCTTGGTATTGGGCTGGGTGTGGTGGTGCATGCCTTTAATCCTAGCACTCCAGAGGCAGAGGCAGGAGGATCTCTGTGAGTTCAAGGCCAGCCTGGTCTATATAGTGAGTTCCAGGACAGCTGGGACTACAGGGAGACCCTGTCTCAAAAAGACCAAAAAAAACAAAAACAAAAACAAAAAACCTCTTGGTAAAAGTGAGGTGCCATTTGATGTCAAGCCACAAGTCTGACAATGGTTTTTTTGTTTGTTTTTGTTTCTTTTGACAGGGTCTCCCTAGTACCAGCCCACCTGGGAAGTCATTCCTTGGACCAGGCCTGCCTCTGCCGCATGAGGGCTGGGATTAAAGGTGAGTGCCACCACGCCCCTCATAGGAATGTGACAATGAATGGCACATCTTGAATTCTGTGAGCAATTTCAGTTTAAGTGAGATAAATAACATGGTTCTAAATGTATTGGTACTATTGTTATTTTATACCATCAAGGGAACGCACACTAATTCCAAAGATCTGTTTACAAAAACTATCTTACTAATAGCTTTATTTCTGTGAAAGACAGGAATCACAAAATGTCCATGTAAACTTTATAAAGGTCCCAAACAGTTGTAGAAGCAAAGGGTCTTTAGTGCTCAATGTCATTTCTGTTGGAAGTCACACAACATTGACATATGAACAGTCACTACCTACAATCAGCACTCAGGTGTATGGCCGTTAAGTGAATCTCTGTTTTGGAGCTACATAATATAGGGGCTCTAAATGAATATACACAAAAAATAAAGTAAAAGCAACATATTTATAACGTTTAAGGTCAATCATCATTAGATATACATATATATACATATCATTATAAAATGATGAGTCTATATAAGTTTATGTATATAAACTTTAAAATAGTCCTCACAAAAATCTCAAAAAAAAAAAAAAAAAAACCAGCATCACTGCCCTTTCTCACTAAAGCAACACACAAGCTAAGCACCACAGCGTCAAGACTTTCACATTAATGAAATGTGCCTAAATCCTGCATTGTTCACATGGGGGATAAAAAAGCAGAAACTCTCTGAAAAATGCCTTACACTTAAGTACTCAATACTTACTTGATTTGGTATTAAGAGAACTGCTTTCTTCAGTTCAACATAACATTACACATAATTATACCAACTGTTGCTTCGAGGTTTTTTTTTTTGGCTTTTTGAGACAGGTTCTCCCTGTAGTCCCAGCTATCCTGGAACTCACTATGTAGACCAGGCTGGCCTCGAACTCACAAAGATCTGCCTACCTCTGCCTCCCAACTGCTGGGATTAAAGGCATGCGCCACCACGCCTGGCTTCAAGGTTTCAATAATGGAATTAGAATATTTAGAGAGCAGTACTTTACCCTGAAATGCACAATACATTAATTTAGAATCATCTCTAGTCTCTAAAAGCATCCTGAAATTTAATGTCAGTCAGAACAGAGTCATGAACTTTCAGATATAAAATTCTTACCTTTCTATTCGAATTTCAAGTGCAGTTCCAGTTTTGGAATTTTCGGGCACATGTTCAATTCTCAAAACGGTATCTATGAAAGTGACTTTTACTCTTCTTAGTACTAGAGCAAACAAGCAATCATGAGTGGAAAGCCATACATACAGGATGTATACCTCTCCCGCCCCTCCCTCCCCTCTCTCCCCTCCTCTCCCCTCCCCTCTTTTGCTTTCCTTCAGGTTGCTAGGGATGAAACCTAAGCCTTGCTCATGCTAGGCAAGGCTCCATCACTGAGCTGCACCCCCAGTCACAAATAAGTACTCTCAGTAAAACGACAAAATTTACTAGTCTGTGAACAACTTGCAAAATAAAGAAAACAGATTTCTTTCCTTTGAAATCCCCAAAGCCTGAATTTTATAATAAATATTGTGCCTTACTAAGCACTCACCCCAGCTACACACAACAGACACCTGGGACCTGACTAATGCAGTGTATTGATTTCTAAGCTAATCATTCTGCAGGCTATATAATAAACAAAGGAGAGCCATGGTAACAAGAGAAGCATGCAATTAAATTGAATGCAATATTTTAATACATCAATTCCAAAGTACTGAAATGGGAATGGTACTCTTTTAAAAATCATTCCAACAACTGCCTAATACAAGACTTCTATCCATTGCAGGCACCCGTAAGTTATTAAATAAAATCCAAAATTTTGAAGATGCTCCATAATGCCAAACCTGTTTCAATGGTTTCAGCGAATTTTTCCAGTCCTTCAAAAGGCTGGGAGCCCTCTCCATGCTCATCTGTCAGCTTCTGGCTGAGACACTCCTTCGCTAGCTGCATGCTGCTGGTCATGAAACTTGACCAGCACATGGGCTCAGAGCCAGTTGCTACAGAAAATATAAATAAAACCTAAGTTATTTCCCAAAGTTATAGCAATGTCAGTTCTTAAAAGAATACGTTTCTGGTAAAGTCTTAACATCATGGTATTACAATATTGCAGAAATTTCTCTAGATATTTAGGTATCACCTTAAAATAAAAGAACAAAAGAATTATAGAAAAATTCCTGCAACATACTCATTTCAAGTTTTATTTATTTTTTTATCTTTTTGAGACAAGGTTTCCCTGTAGCCCCCACTGGCTATGTAGAAGAGGCTGGCCTTGGACTCACAGTGCTACCACTCCTGGCTCAAGTTTTATTTTTATCAAAGATTAATCCAGATAGTCATTCAACAGAAACATAAACAGGTATTTTACACACACAATGCTATTCTTGACACCAGAGCAGAAGCCAGCAACCCTCTGTAAAGCATCAGTATTTTAGGCTGTGTGGGCAGTGCATTCTATATTGCACCTGCCAGCTCTCCTATGAGAGGGCAAAAGCAGCTACTGAGAGTAAACTGATAAGCATGGCTGTTCCTCAATAAATAAAACTTTACTTAATGAAAACAGGTGGCAGTCCTAATTTGGACAGCAAGCCACATTTTGTTAACTATAAGGAATTAAAAAGTAAATTATGAGTTATATACTCAGAAAGCTTACCACACAGCGGGAGAAATAAGACATGACTAACAGGCGGGCGTGGTGGCACACGCCTTTAATCCCAGCACTCGGAGGCAGAGGCAGATCTCTGTGAGTTCAAGGCCAGCATGGTCTACATAGTGAGTTCCAGGACAGCTGGGGCTACAGGGAGACTCTGTCTCAAAAAGACAAAAAAAAAAAAAAAAAAAAAAAAAAAAAAAAAAAGACTAACAAGAATTGATAGGTAGCTATAGGGGATCACCAGAAAAACTAAAAGAGGTAATTCTTCCATCTGAGGGAATTAGGTGAAATCAAGTAGAGGGAACAGACAACATGGGCTACAGAGTTAGTCTAAACATAAATAAAAGAGCATCCTTAGAACATGAACAATGAGAAACCCTTTCCAGATCTTCCTGCTAAGAAAATGCCAACACATCTCCTTATGTTATTCAAAGCAGGTTGCTATAATTATTGTCTTCCAGGTAGAGCTTAAAAACCGTTTTAATGGAATATTTTAAAGGGAAAACAATTTCAAATGTATATACCTATCATGATTAAAAGAATTTTTATTTTATTTTATTTTTTTTTTTTGTCTTTTCAAGACCGGGTCTTCCTGCAGCCCCTGCTGGCCTGGAACTCGCTGTGTAGACAAGGCTGGCCTCGAACTCACAGATCCACCTGCTCCTGCCTCCCGAGTGCTGGGATTAAAGGCATGCGCCACAACGCTCAGCTAAAATAGATTTTTTTTTTTTTTTTTTTTGAGACAGAATCTTGCTAGCCTTAACCAGGGGAGCCTCAAACTTGTGATCCTCCAGCCTAAGCCTCCTGAGTATGTGTCACCACACCTGGCTAGATACAATGTTCTCATAAATTAAATTATCAGGAAGCTGGATATTATGATCCTTCAGTCAGTAAAACACTTGCCTTGCACGAGCAGGAGGACCTGAGTTTGATCCTCAGACACAGGGCGCCCAACACTGGAGGGGGAGGGACAAACAGATCCCTGGGACTCTTGGGCCAGCCAGCCTATCCTAGATGGTGAGAATCAGGCTAATAAAAGACACTGTCTCAAAAATGTAAGGTAATGAGAATCTGAGGAACAGCAGTGAGGTTGTCCTCCTCAACATTCATTCACACATGTGCATCTGCACATATATAAACACAGATGCATATACTAATACACCGAAGTTAAATATAAAGTTATTGCCACTTGTGTACGGGTACTCCAACAGTTCCAGCACTCAGGAGGCTGAGGTGGGAAGACCACAGATTGAAGGCTAGACTGAGCTATAGAGCAAGTGCAAGACCAGTCTGGGCTGCACAGTGAGACTCAGTCTCAAAATAAGGGGCTGAAAAGAAGTCTCAACAGGTAAAAAGACTGGCCGCCCTCGCAGAAGACTCAGGTTTGGTTCCCAGCACCCACACGGCAGCTAACAACCACTGTAACTCCATTTCCAGGAGATCCAACACCGTCTTCTGACCTTCATGGGTATTGCACGACACAGGTGCACTTATATACATGCAGGTAAAATACTCATATACATAGAATAAAAATAATAAATTTAATAAGGCCAGGAGTGGTGGCACACGCCTTTAATCCCAGCACTTGGGAGGCAGAGGCAGGCAGATCTTTGTGAGTTCGAGGCCAGCCTGGTCTACATAGTGAGTTCCAGGATAGCTGGGGCTACAGGGAGACCCTGTCTCAAAAAAAAAAAAAAAACAAAAACTAATTAATTAATTAATTAATTAATTAAATATGCCAGGTGTGGTGGCACATGCCCTTAATCCCAGCAGAGGCAGACGGATCTCTCTGTGAGTTCAAGGCCAGTCTGATCTACATTGTGAGTTCCAGGCCAGCTGGGGCTACAGGGAGACCCTGCCTCTAAAGGACAGAAGAAAAAAAAAAAACAAAAAAAACACATAGATTATAGTTCTGCTAACCATAATTTAAATGTTTGTTTTTCGGGCAATACTCTAGGTTATAGTTTACCATTGCATGCCTACACAACTTTACACAGATTAATCTACTCATGTACCTGTCTGCATTATAAACAGGCATTCTACTGTGAGGAAGAGCATCGCCCTCATGCCCACTTCACATTCTTAGTTATCCATATTAACATGAACTTGTGAATCTCTTTAAATTCAGTCTGTTACAATAACTTATTATCATTATATTTTAATACTACACTTCTTTCAGATTTGACCAATAAAAGCTCCTTCAAATCCAATCCTGGGAGCTGGAGAGATGGTTCAGGGGTTAAGGGCAAATACTGCTTTTGCAAAGGACCCCAGATTGGTTCCCAGAACCCATGTCGGGTAGCTCACAACCACCTCTAACACATCTTTGGCTTCTGTAGGCACCTATGTTCATGTGCACATACCCGCACACAGGTACACACATTTACATATAATAAAAAATTAAATAAAAGAAAAACCAATCCTGTGCCCTTTCAACATTTCTCCATGAATCCTTGAATATTCTTCATTTGAGGACACAGTATTTTGAATCTTTAAAATACTAATCACTTATAACTGGTACCAAATAATTATATAAGCTCAACTCATCCAAATACTAATGTTCTGGAGAATAAATAGGGAGAAAAAGAGTTCTAAAGGTATCATCACATATATCCTACACACAGCCAAGTCCTAATATTTTATCACCTGAAAACTACTATCTCAAAAGTACAATACAAAGTTATAAAGCAAATGCTGAATTTTATGTAATTGGATTGACCTCATAACCTCCAGAGAGTAAAGGTTGAAACAAACAGAATAGACACATACAACACACCTACCTATCCGAGGTCTAGGTCGGAGAACCATTTCTAACCCTCTCACTTCCAGTGCGCAATTATCCTGCAGCAAGGAGCCCCATGGAACCGACAGAGAAATGGACTGAATGAATCCTTCAGTGACTTCTAAAGGTGCATCTGCTGACTCCAGGATTTCATTGAGACACTAGAGAGAAAAATCAGTTCGTTTTGAAATTACATCCATAAGAACACATGTTGGTGAACTTTTTCAGTGATGGTAATATCCACAACTGTGTCAAAGATTGGACAGTAAAAAGGCAACAGTAAAGATGACCTTGCTCCTCAATATTCTTCCACAATGGCATATCATGAACATGGTTAGAGTGTGACAGGTGGCACGACAAAGCAGACTGTTTTCCTTGAGCCTGTGACATCACTTCACGGGATGCTTTTTGGCAGGCTACCTGGGGATGTGTGATGCTAAGCTAAGCCCGAAGACATAAAGGAGGTAACCAGCAAGGGGTCCAGGAAGAAGTAGGAGGAGCAGAGGATCAGGACAGCAGAAGTCAGAGAAGCACAAGCACAGGTATTTGAGATATAAGTTGCTTTAAGCCGTCGAGTACCAGGGTGAGGAGGGAAGCCCTGGGAATGTGTGCAGAGACAAGGCTAAGCAGATGAGCAGTTTATCTACAGGAGCAACATGAGCCCGCTCAAGGACTTTAAGCTAGGCTGCCATGAGATTCAAACTTTAAGTAGGCCCTTCCCACAGCCACATGAAACACAAATGGGTGAAAAGCAAAACCTGGACAGGAAGATTTTAAGTAACAGAAAATACCTAAAGAAACTGGCTTGGTAAGATAGCCACACTGAGAACAGTTCAAAGTGGCTGGGTTTCTAGACAACAGCAAACAGAATAACTTGACCTTGTGAGGGCTCAAGAAAAGGAATTAAAAAGAGCACCCAGGAGGCTAGCCTGGGCAACTGCATAGACAGTGGCAACATCTACTGCGACAGAGAAGCCAAAAGAAGCTGGTTCGAAAGATGAGGTATTTGGTTCACAGCTGTGCACGGAAAGACAGTGAGGAGCTGGGGTTGGGGAGACAACTGGATAGTCTGGTCTGGGGCTCAGGAGTCCCTGCAGCACTGACACAGAGATGGACATCAGAAGCATGCAGGGTAACTGGAGCCACAGGGGTGAGGAAGCAAGTCCTGGGAATGTGTGCAGAGCAAACCAATGAAGGCCTGTGGCAGAACACCTAAGAAACACCAACATGTACAGGCACAGTAGCATACACCTGTATCTGTAAACTCAGCACTCAGGAGCACAGGCAGGAGGATCACAAGTTTAAGGCCAAGCTGGGCTACACAGTGAATTCCAAGGCCATCTCCAAACAAAAAACAATAAACTACAAAAAAAGGAGAAGACAAGAAAAAAAAAAGGAAAAGGAGACATCAAAGTGTCAATGGGTTAGGAGAGTGGAACCTACAAAGAAAGCCATGAAAAAAAGCAGACAGACAGAATGAAAACCAGGAGTCCCATGTCCCAGAAAGTCATGGAAAGACGGTATGAAAGAGAAGAGTGGCCAAGCATAACCAAAACTAAAGAAGTCAGGGATTCTGAACATCTACTGGATGCAGTAATAGACAGCTAAGCACAGGCGAGTCCACTGAAAACAACGTTAGCAGCAGGAGGGCAAACAAGTCTGCATAGAAAAAGGGGAGGTAAGGGAGGGAACGGGGCAGGAAGAGAAGAAAAAGAAAAAGAGGAAGAAAGAGTGAAAAAGAGAGACCAGTTACCTAAGCCTTTTTAAATTGTTGGTTATTGTTGGTTTTTCTTCTGTGGGAAAGATCCTTCACTGTACTCCAGGCTCTCTTGGAATTATGTAGTTCAGGCTGGCCCCAAATCTACAGCAACCTCCCATGTGCTAGAATTATAGATGCGACCCACCACACATGGCTTCAAAAACAATTTACTTTAAAAAAATATTTTAGCCAGGCGTGGTGGCTCACGCCTTTAATCCCAGCATTTGAGAGGCAGAGGCAGACTCATCTTTGTGAGTTCAAGACCAGCCTGGTCTACATAGAGAGTTCCAGGTCAGCTGGGGCTTGGAGAAACCTTGTCTCAAAACAAACAAACAAACAAACAAAAAACCGTTTATTTTTATTGTATGGGTATTTTGCCTGCATGTATGTGCACTCATGGGTGCAACATCCATGGAGGCCAGAAGAGGGTGTTGGATCCTTGGAACAGAAGGGCAGTTGTTAGCCACCATGTGGGTGCTGGGAATCGAAGCTAGTTTCTCTGAAAGCTCTTAACTGCTGAGTCACCTCTCCAGCCCCTAAAATTTACTTTTAAATTGAAACAAATAGTTATTAAACTCCAGCTTACATAAACTCCCTGCATGCTAAATTCCACAATAGTGTTGTAATTCTTTGCTGACACCAGTTGTTCAGCAGGGAGG